AATTGCACATTCCATGTGGTCTAATTGATTATCAAAACATGAATAGAGGGGTAGCATTTACTGACCTGGAGCTAGACACTATTCTCCTATTGAGCATGGCCAAATACCCATTGTCTTTTGTTTGCCGACTCATACATAACATTGTATTATCATGTGTTTACTTTATTATGCATCCGTAGGTTGAGGACGTGCCAAGTCTTTTTTTCCACTACGTACTGCTTCTCGTGCCTGGGTACCATTCTTATCTTTTAAGAGTTGTCATTTCATTTTTCTGCCCTAAGTGAGTGCTTGTGCATTGTGGTTCGATACTGGGAATCTCGTTTTTGTGCTAGCAGCACGAGACCTCAATTTCTCCTTAATATCGTGGCATCGTTTTGAATTCTCTCCTGTTCTCGTCTCTTAGCTGGTCTGCAGCTAGTCGCTCGTGTTGGATATGTCAGTGCATTGTTCTGTAATATAGTCTTACCACACACTGAGAGTGGTGGGCGCACACGCATAAATTACCTTTTATCTGTGTCGTGTGGTGTTAGTATTGGTCTGCCTCCCTCTTGAATCGGTTTTATCAAATAATTAAAATGCAAGATATACCGCCACTGGTTCAGATATGTGGAGGACACTTTCACCATTTGGAGCCATGGAGAAGAAGAAACATCTTAACAGCATCCACCCAAACATCCAGTTCACTATGGAAAAAGAAAAGGAAGGAAGACTGCCTTTTCTAGATGTCCTAGTCATCCGTAAACCAGATCAACAATTGGGTCACACCGTTTACAGAAAACCCACACACACACAGATAGATATCTACATAAAAACTCCAACCATCACCCAAGTCAAAAAAGAAGCACCATTAAAGCCTTGGCAGACCGTGCAAAAAGAATCTGCGAACCCCACCTCCTCCAAGATGAACTGAACCACCTCACCTGGGCTCTCCAGGCCAATGGATACTCCACCTCAGACATCAGAAGAGCTGCAAGACCAAGAACAAGCCACGAGAGTCAAGATGAAGATCCACCCAGAGGAAAAGTGTTCCTGCCATACATCAAGGGAACCACTGACCGCATAGGGAAGCTGATGAGGAAACACAACATACAAACAATCTACAAACCCACCAAGAAAATCCAACAATGCTACGTTCAGCAAAGGACAAGAGGGATCCTCTCACCTCTGCAGGAGTCTACCGTATACCATGCAGCTGTGGACAAGTCTACATAGGGACCACCAAACGCAGCGCCCAGACACGCATCAAGGAACATGAAAGGCACTGCAGACTACTTCAACCAGAGAAGTCAGCCATAGCAGAGCACCTGATGAACCAGCCTGGACACAGCATATTATTTGAGAACCCAGAAATGCTGGACCACACCAACAACCACCATGTCAGACTACACAGAGAAGCCATTGAAATCCACAAGCATGTGGACAATTTCAACAGAAAGGAAGACCATGAAAATGAACAAAATCTGGCTACCAGTATTAAAAAACTCTAAAATTACAACAGCAAAAACAGCAGAGAGGAAACAGGCAGGGACATCTAATCACCCTTCAAGAAGAGTTTGCTCCAGGCACAGTCAGCCCATTGTATGCTAATCAAGGTGGTCAGCTGAAAGATTCACACCCAGCCCAACTTACAAATCCCTTTGTCTCACCCTGGTCATTCCACAGATATATAAACCCCTCTTTTCCCAGTCCCAGCAGACCTCACCTCTGAGGATGCTTGCCATAGATGCAGGCGAAACGTCAGGAGAAATGCCTCTAGAACATGGCCATATAGCCCGAAAAAACCCACAAGAACTGAGTCCCACCATTTCTATTTGTGATTTGGACATTTTAATTTTTAATTTAATAACAATAATATCAATAACAACAATAATAAAAAAACTTTATATTCCAGTCTTTATCCCCGAGGGGACTCAGGGCAGATTCACAAAAGATTTAAACTTTATTTATATGCCGCCCTTCTCACCCCAAAGGGGCTGCAGAGCAGCTTACAAGATATATATACATACAATATATTATTAGCATAGTACAATATCAGTATTATATATTACTATATTGTACTATGCTATAATATATTGTAATATAATTAGTAATATTACATGTAATATAAATATATAATTATATTATTAGTATTATATTGCAGTTCATTATATTATAAATATATGTATATACAATATATTACATTACATTATATTATATTATTAGCATAGCACAGGAGACAAGGTGGAACTGTCCCCTGGCTCCCTCTCTCTTCACTCTGGCCCAGAGCGGCAGTTGGAGCTGGGGGGAGGGGTCCCCAACTGATGACATATGCAGGAGACAAGATGGAACTGTCCCCCTCTCTCCTCACTTTGACCCCGAGCAGCAGTCAGCGCTGGGGGAAGGGGTCCCCAACTGATGACATATGCAGGAGACAAGATGGAAGTCCCCCCCCCCCCCGTCCCCAGTGTGTTGTCAAAGTGTGTTGGCAGTGTGTTGTCAAAGGCTTTATTGGCTGGAATCACTGGGTTGTTGTAGGTTTTTCGGGCTGTATGGCCATGTTCTAGAAGCATTCTCTCCTGATGTTTCGCCTGTATCTATGGCAGGCATCTTCAGAGGTTGTGAGGTCTGTTGGAAACTAGGAAAATTGAGTTTATATATCTGGAATGTCCAGGGTGAGAGAAAGAATCCCTGGCTGTTGGAGCTAGGTGTGAATGTTTCAATTGGCCACCTTGATTGGCATTTGATGGCCTGACAGGTTTTTTTTTTAGATGTGACTTGTTATTGCCTGGGGGAATCCTTTATTGAGAACTGATCCCTGATTGTTTCTTGTCTGGAGTTCCCCTGTGTTTGTGTGTTGTTCTTTATTTACTGTTATAATTTTAGAGGTTTTTTTTAATACTGGTAGCCGTATTTTGTTCATTTTCATGGTTTCTTCCTTTCTGTTGAAATTGTCCACATGCTTGTGAATTTCAATGACTTCTCTGTCTCATTGAACAACTAGCAGTAGTTGTTAGAGTGGTCCAGCATTTCTGTGTTCTCAAATAATATGCTATGTCCAGGTTGGATCATCAGGTGCTCTGCTGTGGCTGACTTCTCAGGTCGAATTAGCTTGTAGTGCCTTTCATGTTCCTTGATTTGTGTTTGGGCACTGCATTTGGTGGTCCCTATGTACACTTGTCCACATCTGCATGGTATACAGTAGACTCCTGCAGAGGTGAGAGGATCCCTTTTGTCCTTTGTTGAATGTAGCACTTGTTGTATTTTCTTAGTAGGTCTGTGGATAGTTTGTGTTTCCTCACCAGGTTCCCTATGCGGTCAGTGGTTCCCTTGATGTATAGTAAGAACACTTTTCCTCTGGATGGATCTTTGTCTTTACTCTCGTGCCTTTTTCTTGGTCTTGCAGCTCTTCTGATGTCTGTGGTGGAGTTATTGGCCTGTAAACCCCAGTTTAGGTGGTTCTGTTCGTCTTGGAGGAGATGGTTTTCGCAGATTCTTTTTGCACTGTCTGCCAGGGCTTTAATGGTGCTTCTTTTTTTTACTTGGCTAATGATCGGAATTTTTATGTAGGTATCTATCCGTGTGTTCTATAAACTCTGTGAACCAATTGTTGATCTGGTTTGCGGATGACTAGAACATCTAGAAAAGGCAGTTTTCCTTCATTTTCTTTTTCCATGATGAATTGGATGTTTCGGTGGATGCTGTTAAGGTGGTCCAGGAACCTGTTTAGTTCTTCTTCTCCATGGCTCCAAGTGGTGAAGGTGGCATTCACATATCTGAACCACATAGTGGGCATTTTTGTTGTTGTTTCCAGGGCTTGTTTTTCAAAGTGTTGCATGTGGAAAACAATCCAACATAGCCAACATCACACATAAATTATATAAACAACAGTAACATTCATATAAAATAATTAATTAAAATATGCAGCCAATAACGCCAGCGAGGTCAACTATACCAACCAAGCTAAAACCACCTGAATCAGAGTTTGGTCATAAGTTCAGAACAGGTAAATTGATTGAATGTGAACATAACAAAAATAAAAAGTAATCATGTATCTATACAGGTATCCCACTATTATTATTATTATTATTATTATTATTATTAATAATAATAATAATAACCCAGTCCTAGAAGCTTGGGAAGTGTTTGACTTGTGATTTTGTGATACGAAATCCAACATATATGTCTTGTTTGCTGTGACATACTGTGTTTTTTGTGTCAATAATAATAATAATAATAATAATAATAATAATATGTACATATGCAGATGCCAATAATAATAATAGTAATAATTCATGTATATATACAGATATCCAATCATAATCATTTTCATCATCATAATCATGTACATACACATATCCAATAATACTAATTACTTAAAATAATAATATCATGTATGCATACAGGTATCCCAAAATCCAATTATTATTGTTGTTGTTCTGTTGTTGTTGTATTCTGAAATACCTGAATACAAAATGATGAGATATGTTGTATGTCAAACCCAAGTCTAAACAAGGAATCTATGCATGTTTTATATATTTCTGATACATATACTTATTATACACACTTAAAAAAAATTGTGTGCATAAGACACAGGTTTTTTACACTGAACTGCCAAAAAGCATAAATGTCACTGTTTTAGCCGACAAGATGGTCAGTTTTAAATTTTGGAGTATTTTGGAATTCTGGATAAGGAAACTGCATTATCATGTCCTACCCATCCCTCTTCATGGATAAAGGTGGAGAACAACATACATCATCAGTTAAAACATATAGCTGATGTGTTTAACTAGCAGTTAAAATAGAATCATAATGTTACAACGTTGTAGTATGTATCCACTCAGCAGAGCCTCCCTTTTTGTTTATGATACCTTTATTAAAACAAAAACTTTAAAATATAAAAAATATAAGGAAAAATTAGATACACTACAGAACACAAAGTAACTACTATTTAAACTGCAAGTGTAAATACACTATAAAATGACAATACAGAAAACAAAATGGGAAACATAAACATGTGACTTCCAATGTCCCAGTTAATGGTTACAATTGCCTGTTTCTTCTAATTTTATAATATAAAAACGGTTCTACATATTTGTTCATGTTTACTATTCTTCAAATCCTAGCACTGTTAATTTCCACCAGTTTCAGAAATGCAATTATTGTGAATTTTTTTTGTGAAAAGTAGTTATTTCTCTTTAGCCAAAATTGCTAATTTGTTATCCCTACCAAGCCACACAATGCCACCAACCAATCTTCTTGTGATGGGATGTTTGTATCTTTCCATCTCTGTAAATAAAGCAGCTTGGCAGCTGTAATCATGTACTGGAAGATTATTCCATCATTCCCAATCAGAAAAGTTCTGATTTCAGCTGGAATTTAAATTTCAAAATGTTCTCCATCCAACAAAGTATCTGAGGCCCCTTCTATATCCTATATCCCAGGATCTCATCCCAGATTATCTGATTTAAACTGGATTATATGTGTCTCCACTACCAGTAAAATCTCTGAGATAAAGAGATAATCTGGGATCAGATCCTGGGATATAGGGGCAGTGTGGAAGAGGCCTGAGTCCAAAAGTTTGAGCCTCCCTTTGGAAAGATTAGCATAGCAGGTTTCCTGTGCCTGTAATCTGTGCCCTATAGAGCTGTATAGAGCACCATACAACTCTGTAGAGCTTGCTTTCTAAATTATTTCATATAGGATTGTGTTGTGCCATTTTTGAGTCCTGGGAATATAGCTCTAAGGACCCTTCTAGACAGAATCTACTGTATATCCCACGATATACTCTCTCGTCCATAGAGCCATCATAAGTAGAAGTGCATTATGTTGTAAATAAGACCCCTTCCACATAGCTGTATAAAATCCCACATTATCTGCTTTCAACTGGGTTATCTGAGTCCACATTGCCATATAACTGGGTTATATGGCAATGTGGACTCAGATAACCCACTTCAAAGCAGATATTATGGATTATCTGCCTTGATATTCTGGGGCCCCTTCTGGGGGGTCGTGAGGGGTTTTCAGAGGGGTCGCCAAAGACCATCAGAAAACATATATTTCTGCTGGTCTTAGGAACCCCTTTGGCAAAGAAGACTGAAGATCTCTCCACCTGTCCTTCTCTTCCTTATTGGAAACGGGCCGCGGATCCTCCCACCAAAAGCCCTCCTTCACTCTGATTGGCAAGCCTCTCAGGTGGCCTCTCAGCCAAGGGGAGGACTGTTTCTGAGACTCCAAGCAGGAAGGGGAGAGCAGGCGTGCTTGGCACATCGGAGCATGGTGGGCATGAGAGAGCAAAGGAAAGCATGTGAGGTTGGAGGGAGGCATGCACCAATATGGGGGTTCTGTGTGAGAAGTTTGGCACAATTCTGTAGTTGGTGGAGTTCGGAATGCTCTTTGATTGTAGGTTAACTATAAATCCCAGCAACTACAACTCCCAAATGACAAAAACACACACCCCACAGCCCCAACAGTATTCAAATTTGGGCGTATTGGGTATATGTGCCAAATTTGGTCCAGTGAATGAAAATCCATCCTGCGTATCAGATATTTACAGTACAGTTCATAACAGTAGCAAAATTACAATTATGAAGTGGCAAAGAAAATAATTTTAAGTTTGGGGGTCACACAACATAAGGAACTGTAGTAAGGGGTCGTGGCATCAGAAAGGTTGAGAAACACTGTAGTAGAGAGCCATGGAAGAACCCCATCTTGGTGGGATGGGAGAATCTTGGTGGGATGGGGGTAGGGGAAGGAGGAGGAGGAACATGGAAGGAAAAATGAAGAGGAGGAGGAAGGAGGAGGAGGAAGAGGAAGGGGAGGAGGAGCTTCCATATAAGCTGGGGGTGGGGGGAATCTCGGGTGCCAAGTCCCGCCTGGAGTTTGCTTCATTCCACGAGTGGCAGTGGAGGAGGAGGAGGAGCCAGAGGGCCTGCCTTGCAGCCCTGGCGGCTCCAGCTGCGGCGCGGCGGGGGAGAGGACCTTCTCTGCTGCAGCTCCCTCTTCCTCCTCCTCCTCCTCCTCCTCCTCTTCCACGATGCCTCCTTCCACGAGACGGCAACTGCGCCGGGCTCCTCCTGCCCCTTAGGGTGAGTAACTTCCAGTGGGAGGGGGAAATGAAATAATGGCCGGGTCTGGGGCGCCTTTTCCTACCCCGGTGCCCTCCTCCTCCTTCTCCTCCTCCTCCTCTCGCAGCCCCTTGTTTTGGGAACCAAGCGCTTCCTTTTAAGGCTCCCTCCGGGCACTGCGGCGGTGCGCATTTCCCGGCTGCTCTCCCCGACTTGCCTGCCTTTTCTTCCTTCCTTTTCTTCCTTCCTTTTCTTCCTTCATTCCTTCGTTTTTGGTCTGCCGCCACCTCCGTTGGCAACCTCTGCCTGCAGGCTGATGTGACATCTACCTATAGCATCATCACCAACTCCATCATCCCCTGCTCTTCCTTCAGGCGTTGGGTTTCCCATTCATTCTCCCGCTTCTCAAACATCAACAGAAGATGCTGGTGTTGCTGGGAGGAGAGGAATGATTCCCCACCCCACCGCATCGTCTGGGGTGCATCCTTCTACACCAGGCATGGGCAAACTTGGGCCCTCCCTCCAGGTGTTTTGGACTCTCAACTCCCACAATTCCTAACAGGTTCAGTATAGACAATTGGAGTCCGACTCTCAAATGTCTGAACGTTCACAATGCAAGGACTATTTAGGACAGGCATGAGCAAACTTGGGCCCTCCAGGTGTTTTGGACTCCAACTCCCACAATTCCTAACAGCCCCAGGCCCTTTCCTTTTCCCTCTCAGGCATGGGTAAACTTGGGCCCTCCAGGTGATTTGGACTCCAACTCCCACAATTCCTAACAGCCTCAGGCCCTTTCCTTTCCCCCCTCAGCTGCTTTCCTCCCATTTCCTAACAGTCTCAGGCCCTTTCCTTTTCCCTCTCAGGCATGGGTAAACTTGGACCCTCCTGGTGTTTTGGACTCCAACTCCCACAATTCCTAACAGCCTCAGGCCCTTTCCTTTCCCCCCTCAGCCGCTTTCCTCCCATTTCCTAACAGTCTCAGGCCCTTTCCTTTTCCCTCTCAGGCATGGGTAAACTTGGGCCCTCCAGGTGTTTTGGACTCCAACTCCCAGAATTCCTAACAGCCTCAGGCCCTTTTCCCTCTCAGGCATGGGTAAACTTGGTCCCTCTAGGTCAGTGGTTCTTAACCTGGAGTTCCCAGATGTTTTTTGCCTACAACTCCCAGAAATCCCAGTCAGTTTACCAGCTGTTAGGATTTCTGGGAGTTGAAGGCCAAAAACATCTGGGGACCCCAGGTTGAGAACCACTGACCTAGATGATTTGGACACCAACTCCCACAATTCCTAACAGCCTCAGGCCCTTTCCTTTCCCCCCTCAGCCGCTTTCCCCTCATTTTCTAACAGTCTCCGGCCCTTTCCTTTTCCCTCTCAGGCATGGGTAAGCTTGGGCCCTCCAGGTGTTTTGGACTCCAACTCCCACAATTCCTAACAGCCTCAGGCCCTTTCCTTTCCCCCCTTAGCCACTTTCCCCCCATTTCCTAACAGTCTCAGATCCTTTCCTTTTCCCTCTCAGGCATGGGTAAACTTGGGCCCTCCAGGTGTTTTGGACTCCAACTCCCACAATTCCTAACAGCCTCAGGCCCTCTCCTTTCCCCCCTCAGCCGCTTTCCTCCCATTTCCTAACAGTCTCAGGCCCTTTCCTTTTCCCTCTCAGGCATGGGTAAACTTGGGCCCTCCAGGTGTTTTGGACTCCAACTCCCACAATTCCTAACAGCCTCAGGCCCTTTCCTTTTCCTTCTCAGGCATGGGTAAACTTGGGCCCTCCAGGTGATTTGGACTCCAACTCCCACAATTCCTAACAGCCTCAGGCCCTTTCCTTTCCCCCCTCAGCCACTTTCCCCCCAATTCCTAACAACCTCAGGCCCTTTCCTTTCCCCTCTCAGGCATGGGTAAGCTTGGACCCTCCAGGTGTTTTGGACTCCAACTCCCACAATTCCTAACAGCCTCAGGCCCTTTTCCTTTCCCCCCCCCCCAGCATTTATATAGATTTCTCTTAAGAGTTGAGTGTTTTCCTTTTCCCTCTCAGGCATGGGTAAACTTGGGCCCTCCAGGTGATTTGGACTTCAACTCCCACAATTCCTAACAGCCTCAGGCCCCTTCCTTTTCCCCCTCAGCAGTTTGACACTGCTGGAACTGCCAGAGCTCCTTGCTATGGAACCATGGGAGTTGTAGTTTTGCAGTGTCTCCAGGCTCCTCTGCCAGAGAGTCCAAAGATTCCACAGCATCCAGTCAGAGTAGTTAAAGTTGTGCTGACATACATTAATTCTATAATGTAAATGTATAGAGTTTCTTAGGCAAGGGAGACTACAATGTAAGTATATCCCAAGTCTTCCTTGCCTAGGAAACCCTATAAAATATCATGGGGTTGCCACAAGTCCCTGAGCAACCTGAAGCTACATACACTTGGGGTTTTTTTATTGTGTCAGAAGCGAATTGAGAATATATTGCAAGTCACTTCTGGTGGGAGAGAATTTGCCATCTGCAAGGATGTTGCCCAGGGGACACCCAATTGAGTTGCCATCCTGTGGGTGGCTTCACTCATGTCCCCACATGAGAAGGTGGAGCTGACATACGAGAGCTCACCCCACTCCCCAGATTTGAACCGCTGACCTTCAGGTCAACAGTTCAATCTGAACAAGGGTTTAACCCATTGCACCATCGCACCTCCATACTCACACATTTGATGTCAAACCACATTAATTCTACAGTGCAGAAGCACCTTGGGAGGTGAAGTTCTGGCCCAATTAACCTGTCCGAACACATCTCCTCCTATGAACCAGCTAGGACATTAAGATCATGTGGGGAGGCCCTGCTCTCAGTCCCGCCTGTGTCACAAGTACGTCTGACAGGGACGAGAAACAGGGCTTTTTCAGTGGTGGCCCCTTGGCTGTGGAACACCCTTCCTTCAGATATTAGATTGGCCCCCTCCTTGTTAGCATTTAGGAGGAAAGTGAAGACCTGGTTGTTCGAGCAGGCATTTGAATAGGCAGTGTAATGAATATAGGAATATGGAACAACTGGATGATGTGACTGGATCTTGATTCTAACTATGAGATGCTAATGAGATCTTTTATTGATGTATAATTGATTATTATTATCCTACTGTTTTAATTATTTTTAACTGTTTTGTGATGTTTTGAGCATTGAATTTTGCTACTGTTAACTGCTTTGAGTCACCCGAGGGCTGAGAAAAGCGGTATGTAAATATAGTAAATAAATAAGTGGGCACAGAGTCACATAATCCTCCAATAATTAAGAATTGCCTGCAGGGCCAGGAGGAGGGCACACCAATTATAATTTGTTTCTGAATATTAGGAGTCCCGCTTCTGCACACATTATTCTTTTCCTTTATGATAGGCTATTTTATTGATGATCAGAAATTAAAGCAGTGGTTCCCCAAAGTTTGGAAAATTTTGAAAGAAGCTCACCTCAGGCCTGTTTTCTCAGACTAGTGCATTGTATTCAGAGATGGAAGTGAGGCCCCTTCTGCACAGCTGAATAAAATCCAACATTTTCTGCTTTGAACTGGAATATATGGCAATGTGGACTCAGAAAACCCACTTCAAAGCAGATTTTGTGGATTATCTGCCTTGATATTCTGGGTTCTATGGCTGTGGTAAGGGCCCTGACTTGCTTCTTGTGTTGATCCCCTGATTTGTGGCTAAACTAGTGGGCCAATTTTTATTCCTCACATTGTGGATTGCCTCTTAGTCCCCCCCCCCTCCCAGTGTCCCTCAGTGCCTATCTGTTGTAGGTTTGAGTCATTTGTATTCTAAACTTCCAGGCCCCAGGGATGAATTGTAAGTGATAGCCTCTGACCAAACTATCTGTCTTTATATATTGCTTAATTGGTACCTGCAAGGATATGCATGTTGTTTACATCCTCCTTCCCTTATGTGAAAGCTTGCATTTTCAAGGGCAGCACAACAGGATCAGAGTTCAAGAGTGTATAAAACAAGTAGATGCATCCCAAACATATGCTAGGCCTTTCTTCCTCATCTTAGTGAACACTTAGAAGCATCTTATGGATTATTATGCTGAACCAAGTGGGTTCTCACTCTCACCCAAGTTTACAAGTTCCAAGAAAATCATCTGGGCAAACTCTGATGTTTGTATATGTTCAAATTTATTTATTTATTTATTTACGGCATTTATATCCTGCTGTTCTGATCCCGAAGAGGACTCAGGGCGTTATATTCCATGCCCAAACAACAACAATTAAAAGCAATTAGACAACAATTTAAATAACATATGTAAACATTAGATGACTATTGTGCATAGATCCAAAGCCAGATAATCAAATATTCATCAATCCAGGGTCAATTCCAACTGTATTGCACAGAAAATTATGCTGGACCAAATGCTTGCTCCCAAAGCTAACTTTTCACTTGTTTGCGAAATGACAAGAGGGAAGAGGCTGATTGAATCCCACTAGGGAGGGAGTTCCACAGCCAAGGAGCCACCACTGAGAAGACCCTGTCTCTTGTCCCCATCAGTCGCACCTGCAAAGGTGATGGGACCGAGAGCAAGGCCTCCCCAGAAGATCTTAACCTCCATGATGGTTCATAGAGGGAGATGCGTTTAGACAGCTTGTAAGCTTGTGTTGAGTGGCTATGAAATAGACTGCAAGTGTATGTGAGAGAGTACAGTCCCTAAGAAACTGCTGACTGGGTAGCATAAATGTTTGGTGATGTTGGAAGAAGTAGGAAAAGAGGAAGACCACATTTGTGGTGGGTGGACTCATTACAGAAACTGCAGCCCTTAGTGTGCAAGACTTGAGCATGACTCTTAAGAACAGGTGGTCTTTGAGATCTCTCATTCATAGGGTTGTTATAAGTAGCATAAATGTGAGTATAACTTACAGGTATAATGAAAATTGACTTTTTTGGTATTGACATATCAGAATCTAAAGATTAGAAAGGTTACCAGTAGGATTATCAAGTCAACTTTGCTTTATAATAGAATAATTCAGACAGACTATAGATTATTATGTGACTGGCAAAGAAAAGAACAAGGTTAAAC